TCACTCTGTCACCATGGGGTTGAGTGCCATGGTATCATAGTTCACAGCAACCCCAAACTCTTGGGCTTGAGCAATCCTCTTGCCTCAGCCTCCCATATAGCTGGGATTACAGGCATGGGCCACAATGCAGGGCAAGTTTTTCTACTTTTAGTAGAAGCAGGATCTCCCTGTTGCTCAAGCTGGTTTCAAACATCTGAACCCAAGCAATCTACCTGCCTCAGGCTTCTCTTACTAGGATCATGGGTGTCATCCACTGCATCTGACCTGTGTCATTTTTTATTTTTTTGTAGAGACAGAGTCTCCCTTTATTGCCCTTGGTAGAGTACTGTGGCGTCACACAGCTCACAGCAACCTTCAACTCCTGGGCTCAGAGGATTCTCTTGCCTCAGGTGCCTGCCACAACACCCAGCTATTTTTTTGTTGCAGTTTGGCCGGGGTCGGGTTTGAACTCGCCACTCTCAGTATATGGGGCTGGTGCCCTACTCACTGAGCCACAGGTGCCACCCATGTATCCTTTTTTAATGATTGTGATTGCAATGGATTGAATGAACTGAATGTTTGTGCTCCCCAAACGCAATTCATATATATATATTTTTGTTTGTTTGTTTGTTTGTTTGTTTTTGAGACAGAGTCTCACTATGTTGCACTCAGTAGAGTGCCATGGCATCACAGCTCACAGCAACCACAAACTCTTGGTCTTAAGAGATTATCTTGCCTCAGCCTCCCAAGTAGCTGTGACTACAGGGACTTGCCACAATGCCTGGCTATTTTTTTTATTACTATAGTTGTCGTTATTTAGCAGACCAGGCTGGGCTTGAACCCACAAGCCCTGGTGTATGTGGCTGGCACAGTAACCACTGATTTACTGATGCTGAGCCAACACAATTCATATTTTAAAGCATAATCCCCAATATAAAGGTATTTGGAGGTAGGGGACTTTGCTTTGAGAGGTGACTGCATGAGGATGGACCCCTATGAGAATGGGATTATTGAGACCTCAGAGAGATCCTTGTCCCTGGCTCCACATGAGGACACAGAAAGAAGGTATCATATGAACCAGAATGTGTCAGTGCCTTGATCTTGTACTTCCTAGCCTATAGAATTGTGAGAAATAAATTTTTGTTGTTTTACAAGCAAACTAGTTTGCAGTATTTTTTGTTATAACAGCCTGCATGGACAAAGACATATACTATTTTTTCTTGAATGGTTGCTTTAGGGATTATGATATGCATATCTAACTTTTCAGTCTACTTATATTTAAGATTTATCACATCCTATAAAATTTAGAAGACTTACAGTTATATGTGTATGTATTACATCTACACACAATGAAAAATGAGCAGGGGCTCGGCGCCTGTGGCTCAAGCGGCTAAGGCGCCAGCCATATACACCTAAGGTGGCGGGTTCGAATCCCCAGCCTGGGCCCACCAAACAACAATGATGGCTGCAACCAAAAAAAAATGGCCAGGTGTTGTGGTGGGCGCCTGTAGTCCCAGCTACTTGGGAGGCTGAGGCAGGAGACTCGCTTGAGCCCAGGAGTTGGAGGTTGCTGTGAGCGTGATGCCATGGCACTCTATCCAGAGGGATAGCTTGAGGCTCTGTCTCAAAAAAAAAAAAAAATGAGCAGGAAATGTTACTATTTTTGCTTTCATCCATGCATATTTTAAAGAAGTTAACAGAAAAATAATTATTATATTGATATCTACTTAAATAGTTATTATTTATGTTGCTGTTTCTTCATTTCTAAAGTTCCAGGCATCATTTCCCTTCATCCTGCACACTTCCCCTCAGCCTTTTTATAGAGCACATATGCTGGTGATGAATTATCTTGGTTTTTCTTCATCTGAGAATCCCTTTCTTTCCTTCATTCTTGAAAAGTATTTTTTTCTAGGTATAAACCTTCAACTTGACAGGTTTTTTTTCCTTTCAGAACTTTAAAAATATTTTCATCTCTCTTCTATTTTCTATTGTATGGAATGTAAAATCTACCAACACTTCAAATATTGTTCCCTGATAGGATATGTGTAATTTTTTGCTGATTGCTTTCTTTCCTTCTATTTCTTTTTTGTCATTGTTCTGGGCAATCTTATTATGATGTGTCTGGCCATGATTTTCTATTGAAAATCACTGAGCTTCTTGATTCTGTAAAATTCATCTCTTTTACTTGAGAAGTTTTTAGCCATTATTTTCTACAAGTATTTTTCCTGCACCAATCTCTTTGCCTTTTCCTTGTGACGCTTTAATGACTTGATTTTTAGATTTTGTTTGTTTGTTTTTTGAGACAGATTCTCACTCTGTTGCTCCAGGGGTTCAGTACCTGAGGACATCATGGTTCACAGCAATTTCAAACTCCTGGGCTCAAGTGATTGTTCCGCCTCAGCCTCCTGAGTAGCTAGGACTATAGGTGTGCACCAAAATGCCCAGCTAGTTTTTCTGATTTTAGTAGGGGCAGGGTCTTACTCTTGTACTGTCACAAACCAGCACAGCAAAGGGGAGCGAACCAGAGTAGAATTGGTGGGGAATGAGGAAAATACAGCACAAGAGAAGACACGGAAACAAAGGATGGGACCAGGAGGACTGACTGAGCTGATGGCTACAGCCATCCCCAAAGCACAAAATCAGCTTTATTTTATAGTATCTTCACAGGGTTGGCCAGGGGGAAGTAACATAGACAAAATGGGGAAGTAGCATAAACAAAAGACATAGTTTGGGTCTTACAGTACAATAGGAAAATGTAAATGACTTTAACAAAGGCAAATCATCTTGTCAATGGTTTCTGCTCAGCTTCATTAACATATGACAAGAAACAAGAAGGGCAAGATCACAAGGATCTCAGCATAGTTGACAAAACAAAGGAAGAACTATGTGACTTAGTGATTACTACTTAATTTTGTTAGCATATGACATGGAGAAAGAAGGGAGAGATTTCAAGGATCTCTGCATAGATAACTATAGAAAGAAAGGGCTATGTGACTTATGGCAGAGGGAGCATGAAGAAAGGAAAATGGCTATTTTGGGAATGGAGGAGAAGCATTTGGGGGTTCATTCTCTGAATGTTCCCCAGGCTGTGAAGGCTCTGCCATCATACAGCCCACTCTCTACATTGTTCAGATTGGTCTCTAACTCTGAGCTCAAGCAGCCACACATCTCCACCTCCCAGAGTGCTGGGGTTACAGGTGTGAGCCATTGTAACTGGTGGAGTATCAGATGTTTTGATATTGTTCTATAGGTCTCTAAAGGTCTGTTCATTATTTTCAATGTTTTTTTTCTGTCCTTCAGATTGCATAATTTTTATGGATTTAGCTTTATGTCCACTGACTCTTCCCTCTGTTATCTTATTCTACATTGAGACATCTATCTAGTGAATTCTTTATTTTAGATATTGTATTTATCATGTGGTTCTTTTTTATACTTTGTTTTCCTTCAGAGAATTCTATCTTATTCATTTCAAGTTTGTCCACCTTTACATCAAGGTGCAGAGTTGTAATAGCTGGTTTAAAGTCTTTGGTAATGTAACATCGGTTTGATCTTGGAGTTGGCATCAATCAAAAGTCTTTTTCCATAATAATAGTCATTGTTAAGATTTGCCTGGCTCTTTTTACGTCAAATAACTTCAGGGTGTGTCTTGAATATCTTGAGTATTAGGTTGTGAGATTTTAGAGTCTGTTAAAATTAGCTTGAAAATGGGGGATTTCTTGTTTTATCAGGCAATAAACCCAGTTAGATTTAGACCAAAGATGAGGAACATACGCCCTTCTAGGTCCTCAAGTGCAGCCTTTTTTTTTTTTTTTTTTTTGAGACAGAGCCTCAAGCTGTCCCCCTGGGTAGAGTGCCGTGGCATTACAGCTCACAGCAACCTCCAACTCCTGGGCTCAAGCAAGTCTCCTGCCTCTGCCTCCCAAGTAGCTGGGACCACAGGCGCCCGCCACAACGCCCGGCTATTTTTTGGTTGCAGCCGTCATTGTTGTTTGGCGGGTCTGGGCTGGGGATTCGAACCCGCCACCTTAGGTGTACGTGGCTGGCGCCTTAGCCGGTTGAGCTATAGGCGCCGAGCCTCAAGTGCAGCCTTTTGACTGAATCCAAACTTTATAGAACAAGTCCTTTTAACTAATACATCTTTGTCTTTTATACTTTCATTCTATTTTTAAGATACCAAAGAATAAAATAAGTTTCAATGAAATAATCCTCTTAGATTGACTATTAGGCAGAAGTTAGAACTAAATCAGGGGTATAGCCTCTAGGTAGTGAATTAACCCATTAGGGCTAAATTGACAGAGGCTATGCTCCTGATTTAGTTCGAACTTTTGCCTCCTGATTGACACCACTACTCTCACTCTAGTGAGAGACAGTTTATGGGGATCAAGTACCTAAGTCTGTTTTCAGCTTTTAACAATTGTCCACTGTGTTCCTGTTTCAAGTGGAATTTTTTTAAGAACTTTAAAAAAAACTTTCCAATAATTTATTAGACAATTTTTCAATTTTATTTTAATATGCAGTTGAAAGAATTATACAGTAATCAGCCATACACCCACCACATATATTTGATTATTTCTTTCTTCTTCTTCACATGTAGAGAGTTTGTTTCTAGGGAGGCCACAAGTTTTGTGCCTGTCATCACAATGACCCCAGATTCTGTTGAGAGTGTTTTAACATAGGAGCCATTCTTCAGGCCCCCTCCTCTGAGTACACCCCTAGAAGTAGAATTTTTGAATAGTTGCACAGCTCAACAGCATTTTTTTTTAATTCTGTCTACTTAACAGTTCATCATGTCAAAATAGACCAAGGGAATGCTGAAGGAAGAAAACAGAGTTTTTAATGAGGATTTGGAATTGCAATATTGTCATATTTCTGCTAAAGAGGATTTTCTTGCTTTGTCATACTGCAGTATCAACATTAAAGAAATTCAATGCTCATCACCATTAAAACACTTATAAAGACCACAAATACGTATTTTAAATTAGAGGGAAAGGCAGGAAAAGTGGTATTATAGAAATTAGTGGCTCATGCCTGTAATCAAGCCTGAGCAAGAGTGAAACGCTGTCTCTACTAAAAATGGTAAAATTAGCCAGGCATTGTGGTGGGCATCTATAGTCCAAACTACTTGGGAGGCTGAGGCAAGAGGATCACTTGAGCCCAAGCATTTGAGTTGCTGTGAGCTATGAAACCATGGCACTCTACCCAGGGCAACAGAGTAAGACTCTGTCTCTAAAAAAAAAAAAGATGAAAAGCAAAAGTAAAGATAATTCTTTCAATCAGCAATAAGACCTGGAAATCATGCCACTGAAGCAACTTATAAAGAAGCTCATATACTCAAGAAAAAAATGAAGCCATTTGGTGATGTAGAAATGTGAAAGAATTAATTGCCAAAGTTTTAGGATGCTTAGACTCTAATAATATTTCAAAGTACAAACAACTGCCTCTTTCAAGAAGAACCATAACTGATTAGTAGCATGAATTGGCCTTCAACTTAACAGAACAAGTTTATACAATACTTCAAAAGAAAAATATGTATTATTTCTGACATCAGAGAAGTCAAACTGGAGAGAAATCCTATAATGGTAATAAATGTACAGAAGTCTTAAAACAGAGCTAAGCCCATTTGAACTATGAGCAAATTCTCACAGGAGATACTGGAAAATATTTTTTTTAGTATGTTTTAAAACATACAAGAGAATAATTCAATATATAATCTCTGCGTAAATGGCTGTAGGCATAAAGTACCCTTTATTCAGCATGAAATAATTATACTTATGAGACAGTCTGTATTTGCTGTGAATTTAGAAAACTTTTTAAAAATAACTTCCCATAGCTAGGTATCATCTCAAGCACCTGTAGTCTCAGCTACTAGAGAAGCTAAGGCAGGAAGATCATTTGATCCCCATAGTTTGCTGTGAGGTAGGCTGATGATGGGGCACTCCACCAGGTCGACAGAGTGAGACTCTGTCTCAAAATACACACACACACACACACACACACACACACACACGAGATAGAAACCCTTTGAATGTGATCATTCAGGGAAAAGTTTTGCACTTTGGTCCTCCCTTACTCAAAATCATGGAATGTACACTGAAGAGAAAAATGATGGATATTGGTCACGAGAAAGGCTTCATATTTAGCTTAGACCTTATGATGCAGCAGCAGAGAACTCATACTGGGGAAAGCCCCTATGCATGCTATCAGTGTGGAAGAGACTTCAGAAGGTGTTCTCACATTATTCAGCATGAGAGGACTCATACTGGAGAACACTACAAATATAGTCATTGTTGGCAAGCTTTCAACCTTGGCTTTTTTCTTATTTGACACCCAGAAAATCAAAGGGATAAGAAAATCTCAGTGAACAAAATCAACATGGAAAATATATTGGTTGTAATTCCATTTTGTTTGACACCAGAGACAAACCATGAAGGAGGTAAAGTCCACAAGTTACTTTTGAAGTTTAAAGAAGTACCTGAATATAGTAAGTCTGTACTTGTGACTTCTTGCACTCACATGACAGGTATTAGCATTTCTACTGTAGATGTATCTTTAATTTGCCATAAGAGCATTTCATGGGGTCTCAGAGTCTATGCCTGATGGACAATGTCTCATAGACATGGTTGCCATAGATAATCAAATGTAATCAGTGACAACCACATATTTACCTTTGTACATCATATATGAATCAAAGAAGAAATCATGTATCTTTTAGAATCACTGGGATCAGATATGTATAGTTTTACAATATTTATAGAAGCGGGCCGGAGGCTATGCCATCCAATTTTTCCTTAATTAATCCAAATGTCACTTCAAACAATTTTGAGAGATTTATACTATCTTACCAATGTTTCACCAATCACATTCTATTTTTAACTTAGAGAGATGTATCATAAAGAGATGCTTTCTAAAGCCATTGCCAGTGTTCAAGTAGGATTCAAAAGTCATATTACTACTACATTGACATGTCTGTGATGATAACACAGACCCCACTACCTCCAACCCAACTCCCTCACAAAGAGCAGCAAGTCTAAGCAGCATTGGCTATCTTTTCTGAATCCCTGGACATTAGAAGAGTAAATATTCCAGAAATAAAAGGACTCTGATTTAAGAATCTTATGTTCAACAAAAATGTAAGTCATGTATGATAGAAGAACTGTAACAGTTTAATAATTTTGTAATTATTAAATTTCGTAATTATTTTGTAATTTCTGTAATAATTTCCCCAAGATAACATAACAGTAATTACTCATAACAGAAGTATATGTCATGTCTTCAAAAGACATATAAGAGGAAGGTCATACATTGAGAAGCTTTAGTTACAACAGCCACAAAACATACATAGCCCAGAAATCCACCATTAATAAAATAGGCAAATAAAATGTGGTACATCCACATAATGGAATACTACTCAGCAATTTAAAAAGAATTAACTACTGATGTATGTAGCAGCTTGAATAAATCTCAAAAAAAATTATGTTGAGTGAAAGAGGACAGGCATAAAAGACTATGGACTGCATGGTTCCAATTATAAGAAGTTTGAAAGCGGGAAGAACTAGATGATGGGCCGAGCACAGTGGTTCACACCTGTAATCCTAGCACTCTGGGAGGCTCAGGCAGGTGGATTATCTGAGCTCAGGAGTTTGAGACCAGCCTGAGCAAGAGCTAGATGCCATCTCTCCTAAAAATAGAGAAACTAGCCCAGCTAGTTTTTCCCATCTACAAGGGAGGCTGCAGCAGGAGGATCACTTGAGCCCAAGAGTTTGAGGTTGGGGTGAGCTATGTTGCCACAGCAAGAGTGACATTCTGTCTCAAGAAGAACAAAAAACCTAGTTGATAGTGATAAATAGACGGTGGTTACCCCTGGGAGATGATATTGCCAAGGTAGTGGTACAAAATTTCCTTTTTTTTTTTAAGACAGAGTCTCACTTTGTCACCGTTGGTAGAGTGTTGTGGTGTCATAGCTCACAGCAACCTCAAACGCTTGGTCTCAAGTGATTCTCTTGCCTCAGCCTCCCAAGTAGCTGGGACTACAGGTGCCCACCACAATGCCCGTCTATTTTTAGAAATGGGGTCTCACTCTAGATAGATTTTTTAAAATATATTTTTCCTCAGCTGGAGTGATGAATACATACATGTCTACATCTATAAAATTCACTGAGCTTTAAATATCAGGACCTTATGCTGTTACTATGTATACTACATATATTTTCAAATTGAAGTATGAGATATTGGGGTTGGGGAAAGAAGTGGATTAGGGTTCTATCTCACCCTTCAACTTGAAGACTTTTAAAATTGGCTCAGCGCCTGTAGCTCAGTGGCTAGGGTGCCAGCCATATATACCAGAGCCGGAGGGTTTGAACTCGGCTGTGGCCTGCCAAACAACAACTACAACAACAACAACAAATATAGCCGGGCATTGTGCTGGGAACCTATAGTCCCAGCTACTTCAGAAACTGAGGCAAGAGAATCACTTAAGCTCAAGAGCTTGAGGTTGCTTTGAGCTATGACGTCATTGCACTCTACTGAAGGTGATATAATGAGACTCTGTCTCAAAAAAAAAAAAAAAAGACTTTAAAAACTATGTGCCAGTTGGGCCGTGCCCATGCCTCAGTGAGTAGGGGGCCGGCCCCATATACTGAGGGTGGCGGATTCGAACCCAGCCCCAGCCAAACTGCAACAACAACAAAAAAAACTATGTCAGTTGATGGGATAGAGGACCCATGCTGCAGTTTTATTTTATTATTAATTAAGAGAGAGTCTCAATCTGTCTCTCTGGGTAGAGTACTATGGTGTCACAGCTCACAGCAACCTCAATCTCTTGGGCTCAAGTGATCCTCTTGCCTCAGCCTCCTAAGTAGCCAAGACTACAGGAGCTTGACACAACGCCCAGCTAGTTTTTCTATTTTTTAGTAGAGATGGGTCTCACTCTTACTCAGGCTGGTCTTGAACTTAAGCAATCTATCTGCTTTAACCTCCTAAAATGTTGGGATTACAGGCATGAACCACTGCTCCAATTCTGTGTTCATCCTTGATCCAATTGCCATGGCAGGAGAGTGCTCTGCACTGACTTGTTTGGTCCAAGGTGCTCATATATCCCTGGATTAATTACTCTGGCAATGGTCAGGAATGAGGCCATGTGACTCTGCCCACTGAACCCATCCTCTGGGGCTGAGTTCAGGGGGCCACCTCACCTACTGCTGCCTAAAAGGGTAACTGGATATGTGGAAAGTTCTCACAAATCCAAGCAAGACCTCATGTTCTCCCCTCACACTAGTGGAATGCTCCCTTTCCTTTCCAGGACTCCCATCAAACCCTCAACCCGGGTATAAACTTGCTTGCTGCCCTCTGGATGTTGAGACTTCACTCCATTCGAGATCTCTGCCAACAGCAAATCCAGAGCATTCCGACATGAGCTGCACTGAGATCCAGTTTGTGTCCTTATGTGGGTAACTCAAGAGGCCTCCAGGGAAGATGCGCTCTAAGCAGTTTTGTGCAAGTTACTGTGGCTGTACCTCCCACCCTCCTTGTTCAGATGCCAAAATACCAGCCATGCTCTTTTCCAGCTTTTCTCAAGGTCAGGACACAGATGTCTGTGTTGATCCTGGCTAATGGGGCCTGAGCAAGTCTACAACAGACAAAATTCTGATATTGTTTTATTCCTTCCTTGTGGCAGGAAGAGTAATGTCTCCTCCTCCTCACAGATGTCCACATCC